AGCACCCCACCAATAATATGACAGTAGCTGTTAATTGCCTGATTTTTAAAAAAAAATCTTATAACGTTGTGTGAGGTCTGCCAAAGCGTTGAGAAATCATAGCTTGTACCTGCGCTAAGACAAACAGAACAGTCCAGTTGCAATCAATTGAATGACCTGAAAAAGTTGTGCTCTTTTGTACTGGTCTGTAAACTTTTGTACTGATCTATAAAATGAGCCTCCAAGCGACTTTGCTCTCAAAAGTGGCAACATATGTAGTCAGGTTAATCACAGTGACATGCGGTGATTTCATGACTGATGAATCCGTTGCAGGATGGAGTGAATAAACCACTTCAGATTTTACAATGTTATCTTGTGATTTTCATCTAGATATGCTTTCGTTGGAGGACACAAACCCAGCAAAATCATGCGCTTTGTCGACAAGATCACCAGGTCCAAATACTTCCAGAAAGCCACGGAAACAGAGTTCATCAAAAAGAAGATGGAGGAGGTATCCAACACCCCCCTCCTTCTAACGGTGGAGTTGCAAAAACTGCAAGGCACTCTTGCTGTCAATATACCTCCCCCGCCCACTGACAGGATATGGTATGTTGAAAGAGAGTTTCATCTTCATACCCTGTGAAATGAATATCATGCACTTTTAACATCAAAAACTGCAGTGAATTAGCTGCCTTCTTGTTGTCGTAAATGTAAACTTTTAACCGAATGTTTGGGAAAATGTTTTTCAGGTATGGCTTTAGGAAGCCCCCGCACTTGGAATTGAAGGCACGACCTAAACTGGGAGAAAGAGAAGTGACTCTGGCTCATGTTACTGACTGGATCGAGAAAAAACTGGAGCAGGAGCTTCAGGTACTCATGCGCCGTTTATTGCATAGCATTTAGATTCCAAGTCACTCAATCTTAGAAAGACAAACATCTCTATGTGTTCAATTAATGATGTCGTGCTGATCAGTAGTTCAATTTTATGCACCATTTAAAAATTTAGTCGCAGTTTTAATCCTGTTTCAATCACGCTTGTTTTTGTTTGATGACAGTTAGTCAACCTCGTCCCATTTTTTATTTAGTCAAGTTTTACTCGACTATAAGTTGAACATTTTTATCTTTATTTTACTCCCAAGAAAACGAAATTTTATTTGTCTCGTTGTAGTCGACAAAAACTCAACTCTCAACTCAACTGTATTTATAGA